ATGTTTTGACTTTTCTTTCTAGGGTTTTCAATGAGAAAATTTTGGGTGATTTAATCACTCGTATCCTTGGATTGATTTTTGAGGAATCTAGAGGAGTTTCTGGAGATTCGAGTTGTAAAATTTTTGTCCATTTTGAGGTTGTGAAATTCAATGGCGTCTGCAGTCATTCCTTCTCCTAATAATTCTCAGGCACAGTCACATTCCTCAACTCTGGGAGTTTCTCAAGAGCAAATTCATGGTCTATTGGCACTTCTTCCTCAATCTAATCTCACAGTCACAAATTCTACCGATCTAGTGAGTTCTCATAATGTTTCAACTTCTTCACAGGATAAAGGTAATATATATTCCCAATGGATTCTAGACACAGGTGCTACTGATCATATATTCAATTCTTTGTCTCATTTTATTTCTTATCATAGAATCTCTTCAATTACAGTATCACTACCCAACATAGACACAGGTGCTACTGATCATATATTCAATTCTTTGTCTCATTTTATTTCTTATCATAGAATCTCTCCAATTACAGTATCACTACCCAACAAGAACTATTCATTTGCTCTTTTTTCTGGCACGGTTTCTTTTAGCCCACACCTTACTTTACATAATGTCTTGTTTGTTCCTAATTTTTCAGTCAATCTTATTTCGGTCACAAAGTTAACTAAATATCTATCTTGTAAACTTACCATTTCTGAATTTCATGTGAAATATAGGACAAGTCAACCCTACAAATGATTGGGAAAGCTAAAGAAAGAGATGGCTTTTATATCATGATAGTTCCTACATTCACACCCCTTGGTTCACCAGCTACTATTACTCCTGAGAATTCTATTGCTTGTTCTACAATAAGACATAACTCTATAGATATTTGACACTTTAGACTAGAGCATCCTTCTTCTTGTTATATCAAATTACGCAACATGTATGTCACTTTACCTGATACAAAATACACTAATTGTGATACTTGTCATTATTCTAAGCAAAGAAAATTGCCTTTTCAATTAAGTACTACTATTTCAAAAGCTCCTTTTGATTTAATTCATGTTGATATTTTGGGGCCCTATTGTATTTCTTCTGTTGATGGTTTCAAATATTTCTTAACTATAGTGGATGATATGCCTAGATACACATGTATTAAATTGATGGCAAGTAAATCAGTTACAAGATCACAACTTATTGGCTTTGTTTCTTATATAAAAACACAATTTGGCATTGATGTAAAAGCTATTAGATCAGATAATGGTAATGAGTTTGCAATGACATATTTTTATATACAAAAAGGGATACAACATCAATTATCTTGTGTTGAAACACCTCAACAAAATGGAGTCGTTGAGAGAAAACATCAACTCATTCTCAATGTTGCTAGATCTTTAATGTTTCAATTCCATTTGCCCATAATTTTCTGGTCTTTTGTTGTTCGTTATGTTGTGCAGCTCATTAATATTTTACCGTCCAAAGTTTTCGCATATTTTTCTCCATCTCAATTGTTACACAATGTTAAACCTGACATTACTTACATACAAGTTTTTGGCTCACTTTGCTATGCTTCAACTCTTCAAGCTCGTAGAACAAAATTTCAACCTCATGTAAGAAAATGTGTTTTACTTGGTTTTAAAACAAGAGTGAAAGGCTACCTTTTGTTAGATTTCAACTCTAGGAAATTTTTCTATCAAGAAATGTAGTATTTTATGAAAACATATTTCCTTTTCTTACTAATGACAAGCACTCACCTATTGATACACAAAATTCCTTGGATTTTGTCACCAAAATTATTTCATCTCCATCACCTCTTTTCTCAGAAGTTACTGATCAACCCTCTTTACCACCTACAACTCCTCTTTCTATTTTTCGGACCCTGTTATTTTTTCTTCTCAACATGTTTCTATTGAACCTAGCACTGCTACTCCACAAAGAAAATCAATCAGGCCAAAATATAAATCATCTTATCTACAGGACTATCATTGCAACATGTTATCTACTTCTTCCGCCACTCAGTCATCCACAGGAACCTTATATCCTATCTCTTGATATCTCTCATATGATGCATTATCATCTCTTCATAAATCATATGTCATTAATCTTTCCCAAGTTAGTGAACCTAAAACCTATAACCAAGCCATCAAACATGATTGTTGGAGAAATGACATGGATCAAGAAATTACAACTTTAGAAAATACCAAAACTTGGGTTTTGACTGGTCTACCTTATGGAAAGCAACCTATCGGATGAAAATGGGTATACAAAATAAAGGGGCATGTTGATGGGAGTATTGAACGATACAAGGCAAGGTTAGTAGCCAAAGGCTACACAACAACAAGGCCTAGATTACTTTGAGACTTTTTCACCAGTTGTCAAACTCATAACAATAAGATTGGTTATGGCTTTAATAGCTTCCAAACCTTGGTATTTACATCAACTAGATGTAAATAATGCCTTTTTACATGAGGATCTAGTTGAAAAAGTATACATGTTTCTTCCTCTTGGATACAAAATAGAAAAACCAGGGCAAGTTTCCAAGTTGTTGAAGTCTTTATATGGACTCAAGCAGGCCTCTAGAAAATAGAATTACAAGTTGACCATTACTTTACTTTCTTTGGGCTACATACAATCAAAATTAGATTATTCACTTTTTGTCAAAAGTGATCCTGCTCATATCACCATCTTACTTGTTTATGTAGATGATATAGTCTTGGCAGGTGATGACATCCAGGAAATCCAAACTGTGAAGGCTCTATTGAATGCAAAGTTCAAGATTAAAAACCTAGGCCAACTCAAGTATTTTCTAGGCTTAGAAATTGCAAGATCTCAATAGGGAATTCATTTGTCACAAAGGAAGTATGCTCTAGAGTTACTAGAAGATGCATGATTGTTGGGATGTCAACCTGTTTCTACTCCTATCTAGCCAAACACAAAATTTTCCAAGACAAAAGGGAAACTTTATTCATATGTGCATTGGCAGGTTACTATATCTAACCAACACAAGACCATATTTATGTTTTGCTGTTAGTACTCTCAGTCAATTTGTTTCCAATCCTTTGGAAAATCACTATGCAGCAGCAATAAGGATCCTGAGATTATAATTTCCCTCCAACACTGAACATGTTCTCAAGGCTTTTAGCGATTCTGATTAGGTTGTTTACCCTGACACTAGAAGGTTTGTGACTGGTTCTAATGTGTTCTATGGTGCATCATTAATCATTTGGAAATCCAAGAAGCAAGGTGTTATATCTAGATCATCAACCGAAGCAGAATATAGAGCCTTAGCTTCCACAACATGTGAATTTCAATGGCTTCTGTATTTGCTCCATGATTTGAAACAGCCTCTACCACAACCAGTTCCTCTATTTTGTGACAATCAATCTTCTATACAAATTGCACAAAATCCAGCCATGCATGAGAGGGATAAAGTTCAAGCTAGTGTAATTAAGCTCCTATCCATTTCTACTTCAACACGACTTACAAACATTCATATTAAAGCTTTGCATCCAGCACAATTTCAATCTTTGTTATCCAAACTGAACATTAAGGATATATATGTTGCAGCTTGAGAGGAATATTAGATTTAATTTATTTTCCGTTCATATCTGTTCATTTATATTCATATATTTATATAATATTTTTATATTTATATTTTGTTTTTATATTTATATTCCATTTTTATATTGTTTTAAATAGTTGTATATATAAATTATATTATTTCCTTATCATTGTATAAGATACACAATTTTCATCCTTTCTTTTCTCATAGATATATCCTTGTTTTCTATCGGTTATCTATTCACAAAACTATTTTTAAAAGTAAGTATTAATTAGTTTTTTATTTTAAAATACTTCATTATCTATAAAAGTATTTTTTGAAAAATGAAAGTTTTATTGCATAATTCACTTTAAGTAAATGGTTATTTGATTTCATAAGTTCTTAAGATTTTTTTATTAATAGTTTGAAAAAGGTAGGATAACGAGGACTTAATTGCATTAACTCATGGTAGATATGAATAGCATATTTCATATTTAGTCTCCTACACCACATCGCTATATATTATTTCATATTAAAGAAAAATTGAATATTTAACTCTTTTTAAAATAACTTCTATCAATTCGTTATTTTGTATATTATTTCCTTATTCTGGTAAATATCTAAGTAAAACGATTACCGCTTAGGAAAAAACAATGACATAATTTATAAAGAAATAATTATAATGCTATGGAGATATTTAGTTTTGTCCTTATATCGACATTGTACATTAAAAGACATCATGAAAATGCAACTAACTTTTGTATTTGTCTTTTATTTTTCTTGCTTGTTTATCTTTAGATCTTTTGAATGAATTAATTGCAGGTGCCGGTGTCTATTGGTTCACACGTTTTGGCATAGTAAGTGCTTTTGCACATTAACACTACAAAAATTAATAATTTTTTCGGGATTTTTTTTTTCGTTTTCGGCGATTTTAACCCCCGAAAAGTGTTTTACTCGCGGTTAGAGAAATCGTGGGAAAAAACTCCGTCACTAAAAAAATTACCGACGGTTTTTGGAGAAACCATCAGTATTAGCGGGGGTTTCTCAAAACCGTCGGTATTAGGAGGGTTTTTCATAACCGCCGGTATTAATGGGGGTTTTTCAAAACCGCTGGAACTAACCGCGGTTTTTTAAAACCGTCCCTATTTGTTGGGTTTTACCTAATCGGGGTTCTAAAACCGCCGGAAATGTGTACAATTTTTTTTTATTATAATGCAATTATGATAAAATTAGTTTTGTTGATCATATAGATGAAATAATATTAACTAAAATTGGATATTACATATAAAATAAACTATATTGTTCAATATTTTTTAATATGGTCATACAACTAATTGTTCATATATATTAAAAAAGAAATATGTTCAAATCTAAATTAAAATACTAAAAATATGACTGAGATGTTTATTACATTACTAAAAAGAAACAATGTTTAATTTTGTTCTTTATTACATTTCTCATTGTTTGGCATACTTGCTTTATCATATACATACAATATAACATAAAATATACAGGTCTATAATACAACAAGATAGCAGATAAATCAAAATAAAATAGATCTAGCCACTATAATCCTCACTCGAACTGGTGATACATTGCAAACAAGCCAATATGGAAGACCAAATTCCTTTTCTTAACATCAATTTGGCAGCTGAGAAGCTAACAAGATGGACATCTCCATCCTCCGAGGAGAACCTTCATAGCCATTCTTTATAATCTTCATGAACTCCCCCTTTACTGAATCGATGTCCAGGCTCTGTTTTCTCACTATCAACATATTCTGTAGGGTTAGAGTCACAAAATCCTTGAGTAACCTCCAGCTGCAGCAAACAAAGCTATATAAGGAAATGACAACAAAATTCATTCTTGATTGATTCATGATTCTGAGTGAGGTTTCCAAAAGTAACATTAAAATTAACAGCAACAAAGGACATTTTTACAACATAAATATTTATGCCAAGCCCATAAAAGTGACCTTAATATAGTTATGGTTTAAATGGAAAACATCATGTCTCGTAAAAGAAAAATATTTACAAATAAATAGTGAAGCATCTCCAGTGTGATTATAATGAATGGTATGGGTCATAGTCACTTCTAAAGTAAAAGTGAATGTAATTATATGAGAAACCAAATTTACCATTTGAGCTACTTACATGCAGAAGAAGACCTAGAAAGGAGACTTTATCCAGCTAGCCCATTCTACCAGTGCATAATGGTTAGGAGAAGAGAGACAAATTTTGAGAAATCGGGAGTATCTTTCTGTGTATGGAAAAGGCTCGAATACATTATCCTAGAGGAAATATAGTTTCAAAATATCCTTCAATCCAGCCACATTAAGAAAATGACACTTATTTAAATGGGAGCATCAACCTCAATTATGGTTATCCACGAAGAAAAGAGTAATTTGATACACAGTCCATTATGATTAAGTCGCTCAGGATAAAATATAAATAACACAGGTAAGAAACATGCATACCAAAAAGAGATCTAGGTTAAGCAACACAACATACACTTGCCACATTATGTCCAAGAATAGAGTTAGTCCTGATCTAGTACAAAGTGCTTTTAGCTATTATTTATCGTTTTCAGCTTAGAAAGGGCGAGCCCTTACCCTTGTATATCCAAGTACAATACAAGATCAAAGTTACATAGTTTGTTTGGGAAAAAAATATTATGAATTGTTGTTTTTAGCTTTGAATTTCTTTTACTAATATACTTTATATCATACAGAAGAATATAAGTTGTCATAAGTGTATTTCTTCACCATACAACAAGTGAAGTGTAAACTACAGGTTGATAGTCTAGAGTGTTATGTTGATTTTAACTAAATTTATTATTATTTAAATGTTTCAGTAAGTATTTTATTCTTTTTAATATATAATCCACATAAATTTTGCATAATTTGAGTCATTCAACTATGATAGATATAACGTATGTAATGTTGTTGCAGTTTTAAAATAGCTTTAAAATCCCAAAATTTCATAGACAAATAATTTATATATTAAGAGAGAATTTGAAATAAGTAATTTATACTATGAAAATAACAAAGATAATAATTAATGAGTAATTACTTAAAATAATTAATTGAATGATAAAAACCAACACTATTATAGATGAATTAAAAACAAAATTATTTTAATTTAATTAGATATGTAGAGTTCTCTGCATATATAACTTTATCAAAGGAAGCACATTTAATATCACAGTCACATAATACGTTGTCTCCATCTCTTGTACAGAAAATAGTATTTAATCATTAAATTACAAAATTATTCATATGAGGTAATGTTTAATGAGGTACAAACTTGACAAAGTTAACTGAACATCTGTGATTTGCATACTGCAAAAAAAGTTATTCCATTGACACTAGCCACACAATTGCTAAAGTGGTTTTCTCAGAGTAAAAAGTGATTCGCCATTAACAAGGCTTTGTCACAACATAAAAATTTGAAGTGGTTTTCCAACCAATTGTATGGAAAATGAAAATGAAAAGATGCCTAGAACTCTTAGTTAATCAATTTTTTCATTCTGTAGAAAATGGAAACACAGACCATTATGTGTAGATCAAAATAAATGGTTACTTCTGAAACATTAATAGCAGAGCTAGTGACACTCCACTTCTTAAAAGGCTAAGTAAAGGCTAACGTAGAGGAATAGAAGAATGAAGTCTAAAGTACACACCTGCAAGCATGGAAGGATGACAAGTCTTCTCATTTGTAAATAATGAATGAACATCAAAACATACCTGAAATTAAAATTAAATTATTGTTTTTAAGCGATACTATCCGGTCATCATATTTAAATGAACTTATTTGACCATGTCTACTTTGATTTTGCAATATTAGGATAATACCTTGCCTAAGTATTTAAATGATACAATAAGTTCAATCAAATGGTTTATCAGAAGCAAAACCATACAAAGTGATTTTTCACCCTTTGGCAGGTCTTTGCATCATAAGAAAATCACTGGTTCAGGCGTTGAGGTTGGAACCTTATTCTGATTCTGACATAGACCAAAACACACTATCAATAAAGGGTACTTATTTTTGTTTACAAGCAGAGGGATATGTAATATGTGTTTATTGATCATCGCATGTCATAAATGGTCTATACATGACCGAGTCTTGAGGGGATATTCTGTCACAGAAATTTCATCAACAAATTGGGAGTCTAGTAATATTTTAACAACCAAAACAAACAACAATTGTTATTAAAATCTCATAATACTTACATGGTCTTGTCTTCTTGGATCTCAGTTTGTCTACATGAGACAAAAACTCATGAAAAACAGATAAGAAAAAAAAGTTCATTTATGGTGAGGAGGAGCCAGGAAGGCTTAGGGAAGCTTCGTCCAAGGGAGGGAGGTTTCTATCATTGCTTGGATGAAGGGTTTGACAGTTAGAGTGGAAAAATGGCTCCATGCAAACCAGTTGATCAAAACAAAAATTTTGGTTCTTCTTTTCTTCTAAAGTTATCATGTCATTTTATTATTTTTTAAAACACATTACCTTAAAAAGGTTGTTTTCATGAGACACTTTTGAAAATCAATAAACTATTGAGAACACAGTTAATGCATGGTAAAGTAAAATAATTCTACACACTCTCATGCTTAAGTATTACAAATTCATTAACTTAATAAAAATTAAAGTTAAAAATTTTACAAACAATTTCAGAAAATATATTGTGTAATAAATCATCCATATTAGAAAAAAGTTAAACCTGTGTAATGATATCAGTTAAACTGTATAATAAATAATGTAGTTATAGTTGGAAATCTAGTCTTTACGGCACTCTACTGTTGTGAAGATTGAGATTGGTAAGCAAAGGCAATTTTATTAAGGTTAAATTCATTATTTGCAAATGTTAATCATTTTTATCAAATGTCACATGCATGATTCCAAACTCAACAAGATAACAGGAGTAACGAAGTTACTCTCAAAAGTTGGAAACAATTTATTAGCCTAACCATAAAATCCTACTATGCGATTTATTTTTCCATTAATTCATACCTAAATCATATTTCAAGTCTTCTGCACTGAGCTCTTGCACTTCCTTTTGCAACCTTTTGTTCTCCTCCGTCAGATTCTCACACCACCTCTTCAAAAACTCACACTCCACCTCTATTTCTTTCAGCGCAACACATGCACTCAGGTTAGAGAGAAAAAAAACCAAACCAAACAAAAACATAAAACACACGAAATTGATTGGAACCTTGTTGAGAGTGTTGTGTTCTTTCTATAATAAGATATATTGACAAACGCCTCGTTTCCAAGCAAGGAACCAACACGAAGCCACACGGATGCGGGGAACCAACAGGAAAATTGTTTGAAGATTGTGATGCGGGGAACCACATATCTGTTTTGAAGAAATTGTTTGAAGTTTAGATTATGCTGAAGGAATGAAGGGGTTTGGGAGACTGAAGGCAGCGGGGAGAGAAAATTAGGGTTTAGAGAGAAATTTAGATTATGCTGAAGGAATGAAGGGGTTTGGGAGATTGAAGGCGGGGAGAGAGAATTAGGGTTTGGGGAGAAATTTAGATTATGCGGAAGGAATGAAGAGGCGGGAGGTGTAAGGGGAAATTATTCTAAAAATTAAAAATAAAATATTTAGGGGCGGTTTCTGAAACCGCCAGAAAATAATCCCTCCTAAAATGTATAATTTTTGTAGTGTAAGTAGGAGCAGTTCATTTTTCCATGATCATTCATTTCTTCTTTTTCCACCAAATCATTATATAACGAGAATAACGACTATTCAAACGGTTAGTCTTTGCATTGAATTTTTTTTTCCAATAAAAAAATTACGAGGTTTTATTGTCATTATTGACGTCTAGAAAACACCACTTTATATATAATGAAATAAATGATGGTTTTTTAAAACTGACATACTATATTCGACAAAATTTATGTTGGATTTAAAAATCGTCACATAAATTGGGATTGTTCAAACTGTTGTAATATCTTAAAATAACTGTCATAATTAACATGATTGTTTTGTATTTTTGAAGGCAGAATCCTCTTGGCAATTAAGTTAGTTATGATGAGATGATGATTATTCATTTGGTTGAGATCTAACTCTCACAATTAAAGTTTTAAAGGAAAATATGTTATCATTTCAAAGATTTTGAAAGAAGAAGAGAAAGTGTTTTTAAATTATTTGTAGTATTTTTTTATATTTCATGTACACAAAGAAAATAATAAGTACATTAATAAACTAGCAAATTTAATTATTTATTTTAAGGAAAAATGTTGTTGGGGTTGAAAACTTATTACCTCGCGCTTATATTAAGATTTATTCAAAAACTTATTTAAGTCATTAGTGAAAAGCTGAGAAGCTAACAAATCATTGTTTTAACGAGAGGACTACAATGTTGTGTTGAGTACGGTTACACGAATTAGTTATAGACAATAAACAAAGAAAATTGAGAAAGAGAATAACAAATGAACTTGCGTTTTCCAACAAAAATCAAGAGAACAAGGCAAGAAACAACTTTTGTTTCACAACAAAGGAGGAAAACAACTAGCACTAGAGCAATGAAGGAACAACGATTTTTTTTGGTTTATGACAACAATTATAGAACTGAACTATATTCAAACAAGCTAAAAAATCGGTAATTTTTTGCCTCGGTTCAAAAACCGAAGCAAAAAGGTTATGATCTTGCTTCGATTCAGAATACCCGAAGCAGTAAACTAAAAAAAAATTGGGTCTATTGTTTTGGTTCTTGTGCAATCGAGGTTGTAAAGCCTTAAAATTAATTAATTAAAGGATTTATGACCTCGATTGGATCTAAAACCAAGGCAATAGACCTTTTTTGCTTGGTTTTTACTAGAATCGTTGTCTAAAACATGTTTTTTTTTTTTTGTAAAAAATTGTCGTTTTTGTATATATTCCATAGCACATATACCAAATAACACAAACCCAAAAACACAAAAAATAAACATGCACATAAGAATAAGTATCTACAACCTAAAAATGTAGTCTTGCATATAACTATTTAATATGATTTTTGGTTTTCATAGCTAGGGTTATTATCTTTGAAAAAAAAATTACCACACTTTTAAACTCATATTTTAGAAGAAAAATCCCAAGAGCCCTTAATTGGGTCAATCTAAAGTTTAAAAATTATATGCATTACAGATCTTAAAATGATCCTAACTTTCACTCTAGTTAACCATTTTTCTATTATTATATATGAATTTAGGGTAAAAAAAAATTGATAGCATAGTAGCTCATGTAGCCAGCTCAAATCTCCCAGAAAATGTTGTTTTCTATTTTTCAGAAATTTATGATCTTTTTTCAAACTTTGCAAAAATATTTTAAATATTAGACTTTGAATTTTGAGTTGAAATTTTGTGTGAGAGGTTTTCATGACTTTTTGGTCCTTCATACAAATTTTCAAGTCATTTGGAATTCATTTGAGCATACTCACATTTTTACCTATACTTATGGTATATGAAGAACAAACAACCAAAAACATCAAAAACCTAAAATGAAACTAACTTTGAAGGTAGGTTTGGTGATGAAATGAAACGTAATAAACATCACAAAGCATCTGTGCATAAAATCAATCATTCAAAAAGAAAGAAAATCATACTTAAGCACTTAATTAACGTTAAATAAAAGAAAAATGGAAGAAATGTTGAAGATGATGGTCGAAAATAGACATGGAAGACAAGAGAGCAAAGCGATGCAACAGAGAAAAATGAATTTGAAATATGCAAGTTCATGAGATACAACCCTGAAAACAAGTTATTATCTCGGTTATTTTGTTAACCGAGACAATAAGGGCTCCATGACCTCAATTCTCTTAAGAACCATTGCCTAAAGCCTCTCAAAAAAATCAAAATAAAATTTTAAATTATTTTATGCCTTGGTTCATGGCATAACCGAGGCATAAGTCCTCTATGGCCTGGGTTCTCTAAACAACCAAGGTCATAGACCCCTTAAACTTCAGTTCTTTTTGAACTGAGGCATATATGTTTGCGATAATTACAAAAATGTCACCGTGTCATTTTATGATTCGGTTCCAGCGAAACCAATATCAAATGCGCAAGTTAAAATCCATATTTTTACTAATGGAGTTTTAAAACTACAGGAGGCAATCTGACCGACCATTCACAGACAAGTAAAAAAATGAAGAAAATAACCTTATTCATGGTAGTATAGGCTATAGTTTGAATAAAACCATAACATATACAATACAAGTTACAATTATTTGGATGAAACATATCTTATAGTGAAAATTTCTCATTATATATCATTCATCTAAAGATCCGTATCATATATACTTATATATTTTACAATTTTATCTTATTTGTAGTTTATACTTATGCAATATTTTCAAAAATGTCACCATGTCAACATTTGCTACGTTTTCATTATGATCATAGTTTATTTATGTAGTTAAATCATATTTGCACTAGTACAAGTAACTATAACTACACAAAGAAAATTCAAATTAATTATCTAAATGCAATATCATGGCTACGGAAGAGTAAAAATTGATGTGGAGCTAATGAACTTACTATTTTCACAAATCTGATTTGTTGATTGTGTTGCTCTCTATACCAAGAGTTCTAAAGTGGGTTTGAATTCAAATAAATGAAATATTAGGTCAAAATCTTAGAGAGATTGTAGAAAAGGTTTAGAGGAAAGTTTCAGAGAGATGAAAGTTTTTACAAAATGAAACTCATTTTCATACAATTTTATTTATAATTTAATATTTTAGCAATGAAATATTTGAATATTATTCATACTACTCTAAGACTATTCTTTAGAACACATTAGTACATAAAAATACTTCTAACTCGTCTATTAAGCTTTGATTTTGATAAAACCAAAGCGTAAAAAGGTCTAGTGATTTTTGCAATTTTTGAGAACATATAGGTCTCAGTTCAAAAAACTGAAGTTATATGTAGATTTTGCCTTCAGCACTAGCACAAAAATTGCGTACAATATCGAATATTTTGGGCTTTTAACGGCGAATTCGCGAACGACGTCATATCGGAAGACGTTAAATTGACGTCGAATTTTATCAATATTCGATGTTAATCAATTTTTTTATTTATTTTAATTAATTGTGATCCTTTTTAACAACTCTACGAGATCTGAAAAGCAGAAAAACAATAAATTTCAAGTTTTTGGTATTTTATAAAACATGAACTTTGATCAACAACAAACAACAATAACCAACAACAAACAAGTTCAATCAAATAACAACAAACAAGTTCAACCAAACAAAGATTATCTGTCATGATCGTCAAACTTCGTTCGAGAAAAGTTTGAGAAGAGAATATGGTCTCATGTGCTAAGATAAAGTGAATGAATTTTCAATCTCCTGCTCAAATTTTTATTGAATTCACTA